ATAATATATAATATATATTTATTTTTCGCGCCTATATTTGTTTGTATTTAAGAAATTTTAAATAAAGTTTTTTAATTGCAATACTAATATACTTTTTACTATCGATTTCTCGGGGCATCTCATATTAGAAGCACAATTTTTTGACTTTACGATTTGCTCACTTTTTTTCCTTAACAGCACAAACGTCGATATGTCGACGTAAATTGACTTTGTACAAACATCCTTCTAATATCGACTTTAGAATGTCTTAGAACTCTAAAATTTACATTCATAAAGTTTCAATGTGGAATCATTCATTCTTGTTGTTTAACTATAGTTAAATATTAACTATAGTTAAAAGATAAATGTTGTTTATGAGCGTTGTGGGCATGATCGGATCACAGCCTAGAATAGATTTAAAGTCGGCTTACAGTCGTCTTTAAAGTGGAACATTGTATGACTTAGAGACGTCTCCAAGTCTAAATTCCTAGTTACCTAAGCTACGTTCCAAAACTTCCTCTCCGAGGAAAATTTTACTCGAAATGTATAGTACAAATTACGTATACTATAGCATATAGAGATAAGAGAAGAAATTTTTTCTCCTCGGAGAGGAAATTTTGAAACGTAGCCCTAGTTAGTTTCTGTATTGCTAGTGAATTTGCTTATTTTTATAATTTTCGTTTTGTCTAAAGAATCGTAAAGCCGGTTTTACATTAGTTGCAAATCGATCGCAAGTTTGTTGCGACAGTCAATATAAAGTGTTGATTTCAAAATGCAAACTTCAGATTGGCTGTCACAACAAATCGTCTTGCAACTAATGTAGAACCGGCTTAATAAGCCTCAGGCAGTCAATGTGTATCTTGAAATGAGGTGAAACTTATAAAAGTGAACAAATTCACCAGAATATTCATAATTTAATTGGTCAATATCTAGTAATTATTGCTATTGTAACTTGCTAGTATTGATTTCTTTAATCTACAAAAACTTGCGCTTGATTATCCGTACTGACTCTCATTAACCCTGTTGTTGCTTACTTTTGTATTTTAAATAAACAATACGGAAAATATAAGAACTTGCAATTTGCGAGCAAGTTATCCTCCTAAATATTCAATTTATCTTTATATATTGAGAAAAAAATGTTGTTCAACTACACATATTTAGTTTGCAGTTTTGGTTAATTCAACAAATTTTATTTAATCGGATTTAATTGTAGTCTGCTTAACATTGAACAATTAAGCAGATTATGGTTAAATTCAGGTAAATAAATGTGCAAAACAAGCAAGACTCAAAAGAAGAAGGGCTTAAATGCAGTAAAATTTGTTCTTCGAACAGGAGGAGAAATTGATTTATAGGCCAGGAATCGTTGATTAAATTAAGTTCCAAAATATTGTTAATAAAAAGTTATCATAAAGTAAAACTTCAAACGCGTTTTTCTCATATTTTTCAATTCATATTTTTCAAACTGGCGGGAAATGTACGATCAAATGGCTTCAATCAATCATCCAATCATCCAACGTGAAGCTTTTTCCTACGAAAAAGAGATAATTTTTATGGGACCATGAACTTAAAAGTATCATAAATTTTCCAAAATAACTATTTCTTTGAACAGATTGAAAGTGAAAAAAGTTAGTAGGCTGCCATTCTGTAAATTAAAAAATTTTTCAAATAAAATGGGTTCATGGCCCCACAAATATAATACATTTTAATAATTGATTTATTTGTCTCAGATAAATCATCGACAATCGAGATTTCCCGCCAATTTGCCACGTACGCGCTGTACGCTCTGATGCACCCGTAGGCTACAGCCGCAATTTTTTACATTTTTAAAAATAAAAATTTTTTTTTGTATGTTGAAATATAAAAAACATAATGAAAAAAGCATTATTTTGATATCCTTTCCTAAAAAAATTAGTAAAGAATGCATAAATTTTGAACCTCTAAGTTAGAACCTTCCCTTAATTGTTCAATGTTAAGCAGACTATAGTTAATTCGATTAAATAAAATTTGTTGAATTAACCAAATCTGCAAATAACTAAATGTGTGTAGTTAGATGAATTATTATATAGTAA